TAGTCTCTCTTGAGCAATGGAGAGTTATGTGTAACTGGGTTGGGTGTACTGAATGACTTACAGGAGTGATGTCACCTCCCTCTGCTTAAAACTCTGTAAACCTCTGTTGACAAAGGTCCTGGTTATCAGCTGTCTAGGGAGTGGCGCCTTCATTCGGGGCCCTCAAGTATCTGGAAGGGAGTCCTCAGTATCTTTGCGCTTGTAGTCCATGTGTTCAATGGAGAGGGCGTTGCTGACGTCAACTCTCTCAAGGGGTTAAGGGTTGAACATCTGTGTCCTGGAGTGGATGTGCAATGCCATCAAGACCACGGTGGGGTTTCCCAGCCATGAAAAAGTGAGCCACAAGACTGGGTAGGTGACTTTGAAGTGAAAGTATCACTGACATCGAGGGCAAAAAGCTCAAACTAGGGCAGAAGTCCTCAAGGGCAGTTCCCAGACCTTTGCAATCGAGGGTGCAGCAGATGATTTTTCTCTTTTTGGCTGGACCTAAGCTGTGGTTTTGATCTAAACAAGACAAACGCTAGAATAGAAATAACTCCCATATTGATACTGGGGAAACATTGAGATAAACAAAAAGGGGTGAAAAGAGAGAGTAGGACAATTAGCCCGGTCAGGAGTCAAGCTCTTGGTAGAGTGATATGATGCCAGCACTCGCCTCAAGTACAATAAGGATGCAGGTCACCGAGGTGAAGCCGACTTGTCAGCACTGACGCAAAGATGATCCAGAGCAGCCCCTGCCGCCCCAGCTTAACAACAACAGGACTCCTTTGGGTAACATGGCTGTCCCCCAACTAGACTAATTCAATAATTCAAACAAGATCTTGGTACCCATGATCTCCCCCATCTGTGAGGACTGTATACTGTATTTAAGCGGAGAAAACAGTTTCATCAGATTCTAAGAGAATGAATATAAGGCATTGAATAACCAAGCTTTCATAGAAGAAAAGCTGTCCTTACAATGTCTGTGTATAAATTGCACCAGAACTTTGCTTACATGCATCCTCGAGCTCCCTGCCTTTCCCTCTCTCACACACATTTCTATATTTGTAGGGAACTCCCCCGGACTCACAATTTGGTTTCTAAAAAAAACATTCATTTATATTGTGACAGGGGACATCCAAACATCATTTGTTTGCCTATGTTTGTGGTGGAAATCTCAATTTATGATCCAATATTGATAGTAATACATGCCCCCTCCACTACATCCCCCACATAAATTGGCACTTATACTTAAGTACAACAGCAAAACAGACAAACAATAAAGGAAATACAGGTTAAATGAAAAACAGAATTCTGTCAAGTTTCATTTCTTTTTGGGAAAATTTAAAATAAAAACCAGTTCACCAGGCAAGACAGTGATTCTGTTCATCAGATCAACCACGCGCAGGCTGTATGTTTCGTTCAGAGTATTTTATGGTGAAGGAGAACAGAGCTAGCCTGCAAAGTTAAAACGTCAAGAGCAACAGTCAAAATAACAGAACATCACTCGCAAATATCGAGAGTGAACACGGGTGGAAACTAAATCAGTTCTGAGGGTGTCTGGAAGTTGTTTGGAAAGCCAGGTGTTTCTTGTTGAACAAATGTTCTAATTGTATGGCCATAAACTGTCAATCACATGCTTCTTTACAACACTTACTACAGAAAATACTCTTTCAAAAACATAAGAAAATCAGTCCTTACCTATCTTTTTAACGGCTTTCATTTAATTTGTACTTTGTGTTCTATAAAATATTTTTAAAAAGTGTAAATGAGTTCACATTTAAATATGCAAAATCCTTAAAATATGTTACTGGCGCCATACTGCAGATCCTACAGAGCAAAGTAATTTGGATGGTTTATAGGAGTAGTAAAAATACTCTCCTCTAGTTTACAACACTGTATAAAGCACTTCAGAATGGGGGAAATGGGACACCATTTATTATTTTACAACCTACATGAGTTCCCGCATTTACAATCGGAAATGTGCAGCTGCAAGCAACCAGACTAACATTTCTATTCATGTTTAAATAAAAACAGAACATTTTTCTATAGGAAAGGGAGAAAGTCCTCCTTACCACATTATTATAGCTTATTTGCATAATTTTGTCTGAAAATAAGAATGGATTCCTTGCTTATTTATGTTTTGATCAGATAATAACCATATGTTGCACATCATGAGATCCTTTTAATTACTTAGACTAACCACACCCTTGGAGGAGACAGAAAGGACTACATATGGGAGTTGTACATTAATAAAGTAGTATGAGAGCAATCCAACAATATGTCTTGTTTTAAGCTAAATAATTTAATAAGACATAACACGATGACTCAATATGATTAAAACCTAGCCTCAATCTAAAACTGTGTTCTGGTGCTGTATGGCTTTCTCCGTCGTTCTTTAAATGAATGAAAATCTCTTAAAATAACATTTATTTTGGGATAGGAAATTATAAAACAATGCCATCTAGTGGCATCAATGGAGGCTGCAGCTTATTAAAGGAATACATTAATTGAAAAGTGCAATATGTTTTGGAGAGTGATCACTACGGAAATTTTTTTTGGCCTAAAAACATTTAAATCTGCTACAGTTGTTAACAATGTAAGCTAATGCAATGCATGCTTTATAATTTGTTTCTTTCATTCATGGCTTGTCCAATTTTAAATTCTTGGGAATAAGATTAAAGGTCATAGAGATGTGCCTTTTTTAGGATGTTACATATATTATAACCAGCAATCATAAACAAGAGACTATTCACAAAACAAAAATACTTAATATAATCTTTTGTATATTAGTTCCCTTATAACCACATTGATACAGTGCCTAATTTTGTATGGTACATTGGCTAACGTTAACCTTACTTTAGTTCTAAACTGTTTTAAGCCCACTTGAAGTAAATTGAGGGAAAAAAAACGCATGAATCTGTTTTCAAGTTTAGCCTCTGCTAACCTGGTAGATGGCTTGTGGTTCAATGCATGCTGAGTTGCTGAAATCACATAAACATGCCTGCCATTACACAAATCATTACTCTGAAACTATGAACCTTACAGGCCTTTTATATGCTGCAGAGTATCCTTCGGGATGAAAGGGATGTTATAACTGCAATAATAGGTGTTGGTAACAGCTGAATTAAAAGAATGATGTTACATTGGCTGGCTTTGAAGCAAAGGATGCCCCTTAAGCCAAACACTAAAAGCAACAATTTGTATTTGTGGTGACGACTTTGACAACTTTTCTATTTAACAGAAGCACCTCTGTTTCCACTGTCCCCATACCCTAACCCTAACCCCACATGGTTCTCCACTCATATCTGTTTATCAAACTTAATATTCTAATAGATTTCCATATAGTTATTTTCACTGTTTAACAAAGAATACTGGGAATTTCTCCATATGCTGTAAAAATCACCACAACAATCATCAAACAAAACTCATGTATTAATGCATATCAACATGCAGTGTTTAGATATATTACTTGTTAAAACACATTAAAGTCTGGACTTATTTAAACTAATAAGACTTCTCTAATGTTTATAAATTGCACAATTACTATTAACTTCACAATTTGGATCAGGGCGTTTACAGTTCAATGTGCACTGATTATACAAAGAGAATCACACAGAACAACAGTAATATTGACCCAGTGTATTGTATATTTATTCTTTGTCCATTAAACAACAACGGAGGCAATAATATTCCCCGTCCTATTTATGAACAAGAGTTATGAAAAAGATTAACAGAAGGCTGTGGTAGCCTGTGTTCCAAATCCAAGAAGATCTGACCCGGGGAAGCCCTATAAAAACTAATAATATTAGATTATTAGTGGAGACCAGCATGTTTTCTGAGAGAACTAAATCTTACTAAATCTAAATCTTACCTTGCACTTCATGACACTCAGCCAGTCAAATACAAAATTAGATTTTAAATGCTGTGAGACTTCAGCATGTGTTACCATAGCTTGCCAACATTTTCAAGGCTTTACAAAAAGACTTTATCACAGCTCTTGGTTTACGTGTTCCTGGTCTCAATGGGGTTTTGACTTCTGACACTTGTCCCATGCGCAAGATATGCCAAGGTCAGCTGGCATTTCAGTGAAGTTAGGAAGACACTGTGTCAGGCCTACACCACCTCAAATTATAGTCAAACTTTAGGACAATTCAAGGACCAGGTTTTGTGTTTAGACCATACTAAATCAGCTTTGAGCTGTCCTAAAACCAATTGATGAAAACAGGGTACAAGTCATTGACCTGAAAGATTAAAATCTCGTTTTTTTTACGAGCAAAGAAGACCAGATATCAGTATCACGTACATTAAAAGGCATACAGAGACAACATACCTGCCAAACTGTTGATTAAAAATATGACTAACTTGATGTTAATTTCTGTTGAGCACTCTGTAACTCTCCATCACTGTAAAAGAAAATGTGGTGCTGAGCCCAGGCAGAAAACCAAGGTAAAGGTAAAAGGAGCCTTTTACATTTACCTTTAACAAAGTAAAAGATTAAATGGCACAGTTATCCCCTTTTGCAAGCATGAACCAATGGGATTTCTACAGTCTTTGAGGGGTGACAGAGAACAGGCTGCTGAAGCAGTGGCGAACTGTTTTCTCATGTTGCAGCAGGAAATAGTGAAAGAATGTCCACACATAAGAGGGACAGGGTTACTGAGACATCTGGGCCTCCATTGCCTGCGCTGTCCACTCTGGTGCTGCCTGGCTGATTTTCTCCAGCAGATTGTTGACTTGGAAACATAGAGACTGGATCTGCTTGTCCCACGTGGGCAATGGCTCCCGAGCTAAAAACACAACACACAGCACCACTGTCATTAGCTCTTTCTGTCTGTATGCTTCTGCTCACAGCAGGAAGATGGCAAGGACTTAAGTCAATAGAAGTAGAGTCTCATTCGTTAAGGATTTCAATGCCAGAGTAGTTTGTGTCCAGTTCTGTGGTTGTTTTGAACACAATAGCATCTGTACTTACTTTCAAAATGAACAATGCCGTCTATCTGATCGATGAAGCCATTCATTCGCCCTTCAGTGATCATTTGGGAGGCAATCTTCTCAGCCTGTCCACAAAATGAGAAACGAACACTAAAACTTAAAAGACTTACAGTCAAACAGAGGCATATAGTCTTAGCCTTACACTGAACTACATCTTACCATGGAACTTAAAATGACCAGATTTTGTAATGAGTACTTTTTTTTTTTATCAATGTCTTCCAGCATTAGGGAAAACAACCCAAGAGTAGTGACAAAAGTCAGACAGGAGTCACCTAAGTTGATGTCTAATTGTGAACTATCAAGATAACATCACTTGTAATCATGCTTCTAAAAAGAAATTTGAAAGTCATGTATGCATTGGGTTAAACGGGGCCAGTTCATCCCTGAGTGTCTACCTTTAGTTCAGTCACAAATGGATAAACCCAATACAAGTCAAATAAGCCACTAATGAATACTCCTCCATTTAATCTTTAAAGGTCTGACAGACTGCCAGAAGAGCAACCTGATGTGGCTGCGAAAGGCATGAACACATGCATCTACTTCCAAGCTCATCCCCCGCATGTTCAGAGGAGTAAAGAAGTGGCAACACAGGCCAGTGCATGATACAGACCCCTGCCATGTGGGGACAAACATTATAGTTACGTGAAGCGGCAGCAGCAAAGATTCAAAGCTTTTGTTGCCAATTTGGAACGTGAGAATGAGCATTCCAAAGCACATTCCAAAAAGAGCTCATTGGAGAAAAAGAAATTATTAAAGGAAGGGCCCAAATCCCCATTTTATAACTAGACTACACAAACATTTGTAGGGTTCGCTTGACCAAAACAGCTGAAATGAACAAATTAAGTAAAAAATGTTCACGCTTATTAAGTATGAGAAATAAATTAAAATATATTTTGAATTATTCTGAACTAGCTCCCATTATTCAACTACAATTAAAGATTTAGGGAACATTCAGGAAGGCCTGTGAGTTGTGCAGTACAGGAGCTGTGGTTCTTATGCTCTTCTTAACTTCCAGAAGCACTGTGCGATATAAAAGTGGAAACCCTACGACTGAATCACCTGTATGTTCCTCCATTTGCTGGACGAGTGTGAATCTACCATACATCACAGAAGCAATCCCACTGCAATAATGCCGCTCAGTGAGAATTGGCAAGCTAATGAGTAACGCTGGTGTTGACAGCTCCCAGTCACCTAAAATGTGCAGATCTTTGCACAACATTATGCATATGAACAAGCTGTTGCACTGCCAAATGACAGAAGAACCGTGATTCATCTGAAAATACCACCTCTCCCAGTACACGAGGGATTGCTGAACATTCTCAAACAGCAGTCATGCACTCAAGTGATATTGATTGTAATTGGGTTTATGGGCCTTCCAGGACACTGATTTTTTTTTAACTGTAGTCAATATGCAGAAGGGGTTTTGGTCTGCAGTAGTGGCTGCTCTGAATCTCACTGTCCTGTCACTCAGCTGCCAGTTAGTGCTGCCAGCTGCCAGTTAGTTTATTATGAATACATACAGTAGATCCTAAAGGCATTAGCAGTTTTATTTTGCAATTTTCTTGAAAAAAAAAATACCCAACCTCTAATATCTAAAACAAATGGTAAACAACTCAAAACAGGTTAATCATTTGGAGCTTTACAGAGAATAAATCAGAATGAAAATACATGTTACATTTTTTAAGCTTTAAGTCCGATAAACATAATTTATATATAGGATAGGTTTCTACAGAAAAATAACATTAAAAAATGTAGTCCAAATTTTTTAGACCAAGCATACAATGGTATAATGATTCTTATTTCAGTTGTAGCAATAATGCAGTATTGTTAAGGGTTAGTCAATACAGAGTACATAAAACCACAGGTCTACTTCTATACTGAAACTTTGTCTTCTACTTTCTTATATCCCAATTGAATATACAGCACACTCCCGTTATAATTTGGGAACAGGGGTCCAAACCCAATCCATTTAGTGCATATAGAATATATATAAAGTTTACAGTGCTAATGAATAAACATGAAGTACTATTTAACAGTAGTGCATTTTCAAGAAATATGCTTCTTTCAATTCAATTAATACTGTACATCTTTTGACGTGATGTACAAGTGGTACTCTGTTTATAGCTCTCTGGGAATGCAACACCCTAGGAACAGTGCTTGAAATGTGTAAAGCCTACAGATTTGTTATGTCAGATGCACCATAACAGGAAATGTAAAGAAAAATAATTTCAAACTTTAGCAATGAAAACCAGAATTATGTATTTTAATCAATTGTAAAATACTTCACAACTGACATTAACACATGCAAAACTGTCTTTGATGACTCTCATTATACAATTACACAAGCAACAAGGAATGAAACACAATAATGGCCTTAAAATAATTGGAAATAACATTTAAAACATTCAGTATGTTTTTACATTTGTGGGGTATAAAACTGTTCCGTTGAAACTTGTAGTTACCACAGACTTACTAATTTTGAATTGAACTTGTATATTACCAACTTGAATGATGAATTTAATGGACTTTTACTTACCTGCAAAAGTCATGGGAAAATTAAGAAAACTGACTGACCTACATTCAGAGCAAAAACTAACAGATGTGAAAGCAAGCCACACCAATGAAGGTAATCTGAACAACAATGTAAGTCATATACAAATCTCTGGCAAATGACATTACTGTATCTCAAATGATTGTAATTGTTTCTAATTAATTTCTGATGTGTGCTTAAAAGATAAATGAACTGCAGACTAATATCTGACAGATAAGGGAAGTACTGTCAACTCAGCAAGTTACCATATAGACGATAAGCTTAGAATTTAGTCAACGTTGATCTGACACTAGTGTTTGTCTAACATAGTTCTGAATAATATAACCCAAAGCCATGGGAATTTCTCCTAAGCAAAGCTTGTTTATCCATCATTGGTACTGTAAAGCCCTGATACTTCTGCTTGGTGCCCAAGTATGCAACTGCATAATGGTAACTATCGCTGAGAAAGACACAGATACCCCAAATGATTATAATCAGGAAAGGTTGAGGTTTTAAATCATACACCTTTATCAGATAAACACTGACAAAGGAAGGCCATTACAAGACCACAATCAGAGCTCCTGCTTTAATCAGTCTCCCTTCAGAAGAATCTGAGCGCTGTTCAAAGCTTAACTCGCACAATTCACCTTGTTAATGCTATTCAGACAAAATTGTGTGATATTAAGTTCTACAGTTGGTTGTTTCTTTTAGAGAATAAAACGTAGGCCCGGCTTTTCTGTCGACTGATCTCTTCCCCTCAATTATATGCTGCTCTAAAAAAACATTACAGAAAAGCCTGTGCTGAGCTGAGCTGTGCTAAGCACTCTGGTCCCCTCCAGTAACTTATCACTATCGAGGCTCCGATTCCAGAAGTCCTTTATAGACATCTGCAGGACAACTCAGGAGTAAACTCATGTTAAACGTGAGATCTGTGATCTGTCCCTTTGGTTCACTCCCTGAATTTAGCCTCCTGTTAATGATTTTGCCATCTACCTCCTGCATCCTGTAATCCCTCAAGGCTGTCTAAACCAGCACATTAGCCTGGTCTGCTGTTGCCTACAGCAATACACCAGTGGCAAGTGTTCCAACAATCACGCCTCTTGTAATCACAGTTACATCAGCTGTCTTTCCCAGCAAAGCACTCGGGAAAAGGCCAGGCCTGCTGCTACTTTACACCCTATAGAATCATGAGGCATAGTGGATTTTAGGCTTTTCAAATTTTGAAAGGATGGGACCTGCCTACACAGTGTTAATGGTGGGAACTTCTGCTGTCTGGCAGCCTCATATAATATTCTACTCCTTTCGAACTGCACTAATTTCGCAGGCGGTAGAAAATATCCATCTGATACCAGGCTTTTGTCTTTTCAGCTTTATCAGGAATTTGAGATCCACATTAAGAAGTACCCCATCTTAAGAATATTAATTTGTCTTTTGGTTCAGAAATTCTAAAATTAGACCACAGTGTTCTCTAACATGTTGCTAGGGAAGTGCATATTTAGCTGTTTGCAAGAGAATATAAAATACTAGCTTTTATCATTTTTACCATTAAATTTGGCTCCAGTATAATTAAATGTCAACATTTGCTGTAGCTCTACCCATCATAATTAGGAGATATGGTATAAACTTCTTCAAAGCAATATGCAGATGAGTTTAATCTTTTAATCACATTAACACAAAAAGGCTTGACTAAAAATTTAAGGGTGCATATTAAAACAACAAGCTAGCTTTTATGATTCACCATGAATTTAGCAAAGCATTAATCCATAGAATATAAAGACCAATTTTTATTATTTAAAATAGTTTCAGTACTTTGTTAGTGTCTAGCACCAAGCAAGCACTGTAGCAATGTTAAATATGATTATTACATTTATATTTTTGAAATCTAAAAAACTGGCATTTACAGCAATGGAAATAGAAAAAGCTTATCACTGGGTCCACTGATCCACCAAATTCTGATTACTGTGTATTACCCACACAGAAGCACATCAACAGATTTTTTAAAAAACACTTTTCCCAGCATATTGCAACGGTCCTATCCACACATTTTAAGCTGAAGCACAGAAAAATACACTGATTTTGTATATCAATTCATATGTTTTTGTCTTGTGAAGCATGCTACAATTTTGAGAAATAAAAGTGAAAGCTAAAAACTCAAAACACAGCTACAATAAAAGCCAAACCTAACAGCATCTTGGTGGTATTATAAAGGGAGTGCACGGCAGTATTTCAGGCTCTCCGTCAGTGTGTAAAGGCACTGCGAGAGTAGACCCTATGATCTTCAAATCTGCCATTTTAGTCTAAAAAAGTATTTTTAGGTCACACTTCATTTATTAGTATGAGTAGTTTATTTTTTCCCTACCAAGTTGCTTCTGTTGTAACCAGGGGCTTCAACACCGGGACAACTGCCCTGCACAACAACACACATATATATTCAAAACACATGAAATCTGGAGGAGATGGAGGCAGTGCTGCCTTCAAACATAATTCCCTGATGCGACATGCTTAGGGAAGAAACGTAATTTTAAAGGATTTCTCATTGATTTCCTAACACTCTTCTGGCAATCCATATTTAATTACCATTTGTTGTCACGGACACTGTAGGTTTCACAAGACTAAAGGAATTTGCAAGAGTATGGAAACAAATAATGGATCTGCATCCGAGTTCCAGCTGGACTACATGACTGCCTGTGCATTTTATTTTAAGGAATTTAAAAAAAATAATAACCCTGATCTGTGTTACCAGACATTTAACTTCATATTTGAAAAGTACAAGACACTGCTCTTCCACCATCATTTTGTCCTTACAGATTCTTAGTAAAAGAACAAATACACATTTTACAATTATCTGAACTCAACCAAACCATCATATCCAAGAAGCATGTTGTATTGCAGAACTGTGGGAAAACAAGTCCACATGCTCCAGAACAGGAGTGGTCTTTAAAACAAGCTCATGACATATGGGGGTCTGATGCACCTATGCTGCCGGAGAGTTAAGTTATCTTTCCTTCCTAGCGTTCACGAACATTAACTGATGAACAGCACTAGTTCTGCACCACAGTTCATGCTTAAAAACCACTTACCTTGGCTGGCGGGATCTCCAGTAGAGCCCCTAGCTCTTCAAAAGTGATGTTGTTGTAAAGTTTGCTGGCAGACAGCAGGTTGTGCTCAATGACTGCTCTGTCCAAGATACTAGAACCTGTGATTAAAAGAAGCACTTTTGGAACTGTAAGGCTGGAAATACTCATTATATTAGCAAAGCAACAAGTGACATGCAGGAACAATCAGCAGTGAGTCTCTCGTTTCCTTTCCAAGTTAGTTTCTTTTGCGATAATTCCAAGCATTGGGTTTAAATCACAAAAAAAAAACTTTAATTTCCCAAGCAAAAACAAAAGGAAAAATACCCCAGTACAGTCTGCATAAACCTTCTTAATTTCTTGGTAAACGGCAAAAAAATACAGGATGTGCTACTCTTCAAATTCAATTCAATGAGGAATTAAATCAAAGTTGCAGGTGTGTTACATTTCGTGTCTCCAGAAGGCATTGACAAAGTAAGAATAAAAAAAAGACAATGTTTCACCAGACGTATCATTTCGATTAACTAGAAGTACTTATATTTTAAAATTTTAGTACAAAATACATCGGCCTTTTTTGTACTTTTTTGTGCTTCTGCACAATTCTGTATTCCTCTTATTTCTCTTACATTTCAGTGGTGCATCAGTGGTGCAAACTTTAACACACTCCGTCTTCTAGGCATCCCTTATGACCTTATTAACCGTAATGTACACTCGATTTCTCTAGTAACTATTACTCAGTGGCCACATTATTACTGTTGGAACACACACCAAATAACATGCTGGGCCGCTGTGAGCAAGGGTTTTGAAATATTTAAAAAGCAGTCCCATCAGATTAATCTAGCAGGGTGCCTTTCAGATGGGGCTCTGACGAGGATAAATGTAAGAGGGACAGAAATGCAAACTGAGAACTGATTGAACAGGATTGAGATCAGATTATTGATCAGGCCCGGGAAAGTCTGTTAAACTCCTAAAGCCAGTGATACATTGCCCATCACCAAGAGAGTGTCTGAAATGACCTTCATATCTAATCTACATGAGATACTTTGCTCATTAGAAAGTAAAATTAGGAACTGTGAATAGATAAGACTGCCGTGCCATTTACCAACAGATCAAAATCCATTTTCTAACTGTTTCTTTTAAATCGTGGTTGCAGAGCAGCCAGAGCCTATCCCAGCAAGCAACCGGCGCAAGGCAGGATACACCCTGGACAGGACGACAGTTCATCGCATGACAGACAGACACAAACACACTGGCTTCTGAGAAAATTGGCTCTAGGTATCAATTCACCTAAAAATATGTTTGGCGTGTAGGAGGAAACTGGAGTACCCAGAGGACACAGGGAGATCATACAAACTCCACACAGATCACACAAACTCCCTAGGTCCAGAATTGAACTCAACTGAACCCAGCGGTGCGAGGCAGCAATGCTAACCACTGCACGATTGGCAATCGTAAGATATTTACTATCTTTGAAAACACAGAAAAGAACATCAGCTTAATACTGGTGCAAAGTGTAGTCGGTTTTAATGGCGAGCATTAGTCAGAACGAGTGCTGACCGTCGGCTGTAGTAGCTTTCTGATGAGGCATCAACATGGCAGCGAACTCCTGTAGCTGGTTCCCCCGAATTATCCTGTCCAGGTACATCTTCTCCAGTATGCCGTACGCTGCAAGTTGCTGACAGCGCTCGTCCTTAAACAGCGTGGCCAGCATACGGGAGCGCTGCTGTCCTAGAAGAGGGGAGACAGAGTCATGCCCTCCGACAGCCCAGCACCCACCACTGCTATAAAAAGCTGTTTTAAATTGCAGGGCTTGAAACACTTAGAAAAACTACCTAAAATAAACCTAAATTCATATACTGTTTAACTCCCTACAAGGCAACTCAATAGCAATGAAAGTAGCATTCTTTCAAGCTTAAACTTTCATTTTTCATTCTGTATCTGAACAGTTATGAAATCATTACCAAAAGTAATTTTTTTTAACAAAGTTCGCAAACATGGAGGTTATATTACTTGCACAAATACTGGAAATAGAAGTAGTCTGGAAACAGATTCGCGCACTAATGCCAATACTCTCACTGTCAATTCAGACAGAATTAATCACATACTTTGCAGTGGTACAGCTTGTGAAAGCAGAAATCAGTGGTATAATACCTGCGGATGCCAGAATGGTGCAGTGGAGAGCGTGCTTGAGGGCCTCTAGCCGTTCACTCTCATGTACGATAGATTTGTACGACAGCTCATTGTATCTCTGTGCTGCCTCTATGAACTTTCTCCTGTAGTCCAGAACTCTGGCATAGCAGACCTGAGACGATGGGTGAGAGCAGAGACCAGTTACTGGGATACCTATGAAAAAAGGTTCACTCCGTGTGAAGGATTTATGACTCATGACTTCTCTTGAAATCCAAAACAATAACAAAACACCATCATCATGACTAAAAGCCACTAGAAACAAACTCCCATTCATCAACAGGTTGGGAAAAGGGAGCTACCTTGTAGTGGATCTGCAGCTGTTCATTAGTGGACTCATTCTGGAGAAGAGAGGCGCGGTTGATGTAAGCTTCTGCCTGTACCGGGTCGTCATCCTCTAGATACAGACGAGCGATCTTGAGGTATGTGTCTAGCTTGTAATCTACATTGTACTGCCTGGGAAACAGACAAAAAGAGTAGTGATCATTTCACCAGTCCGGCACAGCAGAACTCAGTAAAGTAACTGAAGACCCCACTTACTTCTGTCCCGTCTCCAAAGGAATTCCAACTAGGACTTGAGCAGCATTCCTCCAGTCCTCTTCTTTCTCGTAAATTGTTGCCAGGTGTTGCCGGATAGATGCCACCTATCAACACATTAAATCAAAGAAGGAATAGACTTAGACCTTAGAAATGGGTTTCTATGGTCTGCCGTTCATCACTTTAAGACCAAAACCTCGGCTGTCGCTTGCATGTATTCATCGTATCATGTAAGTAACAAGAAGTGTAAAAAGCACTTGCTGCAAGAGGTGAGTCTGGAGAACAGACTCACTATGAAAGAGAAATAGTTCCACCACTCAAACAAATCAATAAATACAGCAGCATAATAGGATTTTGCATAACATCACATTCATGCACAGATCGGATACGTGATTAAAAAGTTAAGACAATCAATGTGAGAACACTACTTAGCCATTGAAATTTGAGCCAGCACCTTCACTATGGTTTGGCAAGAGACCAAAAGACAGACTTCTCAGGTATACTGAGTTCAACTACAACTTTTTAAGACATGTATTATAGTATTTAAGGCCACCACAGTGGTGAGGAAGGTAGCACTGCTGCCTCACAGCTCTTATCTCCTCCAGGGTTCGATTCCTGACTGGGAGATCCTTTGGGTGGAGTTGGCATGCTTCTCTCACTTCCAGTTAGGCTTTCCCTGGGTGCACGTTTCCTCCCTCCTTCCAAAGCCATGCTGGCTAAGCCAACGAGCGTCTCTAAATTGTTCTTGTGTAAGTCCCCTGCGCTGGTGACCCGTGTATTCTCATCTGGTACCCTACAATCCAGGACAGGCTCCCTGTTGCTACAACCTCAGCAAGGATAAACAACTGACAACAAATGGGTGGATTAATAGATTTGTGAAGAAAGCATGTTGTTTAATTCCTTTTGCAACTTAATAAAAGATGTACCCTTTCCAAGAATTAAAAGAGAAGGTTGAACGTCAATGTCACAACACCAGAGCACCTCAATAGTATAACAGGGGACCTGTAGCTACCATAGACAGTAGGGCGAAGGCAGTGCCCACATATGGTGCCAGAAATTTTTAAGAAGAGATATGCACCCACCTGCTCTTCAAAGGAGATGACCCTAGGCTGGATTTTGTCTAGCGTGAAGTGGTACACCTCCTTAGCTGTGCTGTCTGGGAGGTTGGGGAGGTGAGTGCAGAAATCTGTAAGCAGCTGCCTGGAGATCACCAAGCTGACATTCTCATTAACCACTGGGGAAGAGAGAGAAGACCCGGTACAGTGACACATACCCTACCGACACGAACATTTCACTCAGCACAAGAAGTGCTGACGTGTTACATTGCACGAGAAGGGACTATTATTTTTTTTTAAAACCCAAAACGACCATTTCAGATCAAAGACTACTTAGATCCACCTCTTACAAGAACAAAAGAAAAAAAAAGCTGCTTGAAAGATAACAACAAATGGCTTTCCTGTACTTTTGCTATAATCTGGATGGAGAAATTTACACAAAACTGTATTTTAAGAAGAAATACAGTCCCAGTTTCTCAGACCGGGTTATTAAATCTTCATAACAAAATAAATTCATTGACGTTACAGAAAAAATTACAAATTTCAAATGAAGCACAAAATCCTGAACTTTGTGAAAGTAATGCAAGTCGCCATGTTGTCGCAAACACAAACTGCGATGTGATGCAGCCCTTCCTGCTCATGTAATGTGATGAATACACAAATAAGTACAGGTTGTGCAGCAGACATTTCACAACAGGAATGTTCCAACGTGATATGCATGCAGAGTTAAGCAGCATTTGTTGGCAAAACAGTCTAAATCGAGAGCAATATTTCTATTGGATTAACTTGTGGCTATTTTGTGATGTAAATTAGAGGTTTTACAAGCTACAGCGTTCATTTTTCTTTAATTCTGGTTTGAAATGCACTCTTCAATGCTGATTCCTTCTAACCCCGAAATATAAAAATAGCATTGCAGCTCCCCTTTAACACACACATAGATTAAGTTCAGCTTCTAATATTTCAAAGCAATATAAACCCCACTTCACACATTCCTAACTGAATGGGACGACAAAAGCAAATTCTACAGCAGTACTTACTGGCTTCAACAAATGCCTTCAAAGCCTCCAGCTGCTCAGCACCAGTAAATTGAATGGCCTTTTCAAGTATCTGTCGGTACCTGTAATAAGAAATTGTTTGTAAGTCAGTAGCACTGGTGTGGCAAAACTTATTCCACAGGTACTTCCAGAGCATAATTGCGATCACTGCAGTGTTTGCTCCAGGACACAATTCACACCATCTTTTCCTAAGAAGTTTTGACATTAAAAAAGTAAACACCTAATCAGAGACAAAATATGTAAAATATAAATCAAACAAACGTTTCAATAAAAGCTTCAATAAAAGTCTGAACATTTTCCAGCTACATTAAAGGAAATACTCACATTTTTCAGTCAACCGTTCACTTGAGGAACATTGTTACAGCCAAGACAAACTATTCCATATGTATCTGTCTACATACCCAGGGGATAAAATGGGATTCACTCATTCATGAAATTAAACAGCAGGCTGAATAACTCCCATTGCACTAAAACATTATGACTTTATCCAAATGCTATTTTTAAAAACAAGATCAGAATAGACTTGCCTAACAAAAGGAAAGCAACTGGACAATGTTATATACTCGTCTCCAATCCAGGAGCCTCAATCCAGTAAACCTAATTAGGCACAACATAAGGGAACACTTGCATGTTACTGATCAAGTAAGAAAGTCAATTAAAAGCTCAATTAAGGTAGTGCTGACATTTGCAGTTCCAAATTATTTATTTATTTAATACTGTATAATATCCTAGAATTGATAATAATTCTAAGTGTTTGAAAAAATTGAAGATCAACATGTTATATAAAGCCTTCTGGATAGGAAGTCTCCAAGAATATAGCTGGCAATGCTTTTAATATAAAGCAAACTAAAAATTCCTCATGCTCTCGAGGCATGTTTGTGCACAATCAGTTGGTCTTTGTTATGGAAGTAAAAACAGTTGGATGATGAATCATTTTCAGGTGTTTTGCAATTTTGTTAACCCTGTTAGCATCTAATTGCATTTCATAGCGCCACTTCATCAATAAACCTAACTATCGGGCCTAAAATACATGATTTTGGTAAATTATTCGCAGTGTAGAAATGTATCTATCCACAAATCTTGAATATTGCTCAAGCCGGTTAACTATCGGACGTTGAAATATAACTTATTCACGGCGTCTTCAAGGAGCTGATCAGTCTAAGGTCTCCTCATTCAAAAGCAATTTTAAATAATGTTTACGCACCGTAAATTATATCACGAAAGAACCATTATATACATAATATTATTATTAAGTATATAACTCTTATCAACAAAAAGCCTAACCTTGTAACTTCCGATTCAATTTATACATCTAAAATGGTTTTACCAAAAAAAAACATCTAGGTGAAAACCCCACTCATTCATGACACTGCGATTGTCACATCACTAGCCGGTACCCAGAACCGCTTTACTCAAAATGCTGGAGTTAATGGGAGGCCTAGGATACCGTCCTCTTCTCTGCAAAGATGTGCTCTTTCAGTTTTTAAATTTTGTTTTACTTACTTTCCAGCAAGATCTTTGTGAGATCCGCTGGAGTTCATGAGCTGAGCCAATTCCTGTCGGACAGCCGCCGCCATCTTCTCGCCCCGAAACACCAACAACGACTCTTTTCTGCAGAGGCTGCAAGAGGGAGTATTCTTTCCAACCAGAAACAAACCTAACGGCTGCCGGATTGCAACGCCTCGGTCCTCCAAGCGGACGAAGAAGGCGCCGAATCTGTCAAAACACAACCAGGAGACCAAACTCGCTCTTGCAGCTACGTCACTTAACCGCGCAAGACACGTGTCGTCATTATGGCGCGCATCCAAAGACCTGCAAAATACTACTCCAAAATAAAAGCCAAGTAATCAAAAAGTTTTCGAATACGCTGAAATGAAATTATGTGTTCAAAAATGTTGTTTGTTTGTATATATATATACTTAAATAGCTGTTTAAAAAATACAATAACAAATGGGCCTACTAATTCGGTTAACATAAAAACATGCTGTTTAATTATGTATTACGTCCTGAAATTTTAGAACTTTATTTAAAAAGATGGACATTTTGAACTTTGTCCTTTATTTTTACATGATGTTAGTTCACCAGCAGTGCACATTTTTAACTGGTGTTTTTAACAAAAATGTTTTATTAAAAAAACTAATGTTTTATTGAACATTAATGCAAAGGAGAAACAATATCTAAAAAGTAAACGAAAAACACAGAACTATGTTGCTAAATAAGTTAACATTTTTACATAAATCGGTTATACTTTTTGCCTTGCTATTTTTAATTGTTTTGATTGAGTTTAAATAACACTGCATTTCCACATTATCTGCATTAAATCAGAGTTTCATTGTACCACTTTGATTTGTAGATGTGATACCCAGTCAGTAGTGATAACAGATTAATTATACACTTTTTATATTTAATCTTGTAAAGTATAGCATAATATCAAACTTCTTAAATTTTAGCTGCAGTGCACTTTTTAATACTAAAAAGTGGGAATGACGAAAGAAGAAGGGAGTGGGGATGGGGGGGGGGGTCTGCACGTCGTGCGTGCAGTGACGAAAGACGCAATGCGTGGTTTCCAAGGAGGGCGCGGCAGTATTATGGGATGGTGGAGGTGGAATGGCGCTCGGCGCGTGATTTTGAACAAACGTCTCCGTGTGTCGGCGGTCTGGATGCAGCAGCGCAAAGCCGGGCTCGGCTGGGGTTGTGTTGAAAAGATACAAGAAGGCGCCGACAGCAATCACAGCTGGACACGGAGCGCATCGGGGATCTCCAGTAAGACTTGCTCGGGGCAAGCAAACACATCCCAAACCGAGAGGGACGGCTGAGGCATTATAAGCACCAGCTTCCACTGACTATTGTAAATAGCATCCAGGCACGGAGCCCGATTTCGTGTCTCCGCAACAAGAGAACGTCCTGGCCTGACAAAATGTCTCCACTTAGGCTGTCAGATCGGAACGGATGCTCGTCGTGAAGTCCATGAAATCGGTCATCGTTGTTTATTCTTAGCTACATAGGTCTTTTTCCTGATTATTTTCACTAAACAACACCTGCCCCCGGACCCAGGAGAGAGTGCGAGAGAAGCGCTAAAGAGATGTCGATGACAGCCAAGCCCATAGGTCACCTACAACCCTCATTTATTTGGTAGTACAATAATCCGTCTGATTTTGCGTTTCTTGTGACTCCTGTGTCCCATGTACACGCGTTTTCACCCTGGAATGCGTTTTATTTTAAAGAACCTGTAGAAAATCGCTGAATCAAGGGATTTGTTCACGAACAAGGGGTAGGTATCCATTTTCCTCAGTTGTTACAGATTGTCATCCTCAACGATTGACAGCTTAGTGGTAAATTCAGGACGTATTGGACGCCGATGTAGGAATACGGTTTTATTTGATCTATGCAGATCTGTCTCCTAACCGCTTTTAATCTTGTATTATATAACTTTATATACCTTTTGACAGTTTTAGTTCCAACGATCCCTTTTGTACTTCCTACAAAATCACATCACTGAAGTGATCAAACCATAATTTTGTAACAGGTTTTTAAACATAGCTTTTAGATGACTACTTCTTGTCATGCATGTATTGGTTTTAAACAACGCTGTTTTGTCTGAACTGGAACTTTTGTTATATTTAGGAATTTCGCGTTCTGTGATTGAATTGTATAACCACTATAATACGAGGCACTGTTATTGCAAACTTTATTTGAAAGTCATCTGAACCGAAATATATTGCAGCTCGTTTGATATATAACTGTGTGTTTGCCAGCCTATTTTCAACAACGTTTTGCTTTAAAATGAGCAGAAAGCCCAGGCTGCTCTCGCGTGCGGGGACTGGGCTCTGCGGTGCGGCTCTGCGTGTTTTTGTTGATCTTCCTGTTCAGGAGAAGCCTGTGGAGTTTTTAAGTTGTGAACTTTACATTATTTCGTATCATCCAGGAAATGCACAGCTACGTGCTGTTTACGGAGCACTTAGTTTGCTTCTCTTGAACCGGGATCTGGGGGCGTCCCCCCCTTCCCCTTCTCTGCCTTTTATTTTCGTTTCGTCTTGTTTTCGTGGGGCTGGCGATGTTGGTTCTTTCCTGTGAAGTTGCACTGATGACGAGGTGAAAATGGCGGATCTTTCGAAATCCAATCCCGGCCTGAAATAGAAACATCATAACATTCACAGCAGGCAAACTGTCAAGTCAGATTTTTAACACAGAGCGAGAAACCAAGGAATCGTTCGTTTAAACAAACTGCCTTCCGGGAAGTGTAAAAAATGAAGAGCGAGTCTGCGTCTCCTTTTTTATTTAGACCCGCCGGTATTTATTTGGCGGATTGTTGAGGTAGGACAAAGATTATTTTTTGATCTTCAAAGGCCTAGCTGCTGTCTCTCTGGACGGTTCATTTGTTAGATGTTTTTTGAAAAAGTTTTATTTTAGGCTGCCCAGGCATACGTCTCGCGTTTAGCAGTTGTCAGCTAAGTGTGAATGTGACCCTTTTTGGCCAGCACAGCAGAAGTTCGTTTTCTCTCCAGCTTCATTAATAATACAGGTAGACAAGGCTATTATTATTTTTCTGTGCGGCTTGAAGTTGATCGTTGCAGTGTTTAGGAGACCGGTGTTTTTTAAAGATCTCTGGCTGAAAACCCTTAATTACGATGACATTTTTCCGAATAAAACCAGTCTCTTCCTCTTTGTTTGTATAGCTTTTGCGACAAGATGACTGTCCTTTTCTAGCAATGGGTGTTATCTGTATCCCGTAGAGCAAGACGATCTCTTGTGTAATTCCGAGACCCCTTGATAAGTATTGGCGATTAAAGCCTACGTAGCATAAAATAATTGTAGAGTTAGTTGGTCTGTTCTGGCGCTAGGTTTAAGAGTGACTTTCCTAAAGCGCCTGTCACTCTTCAGGAGTGAAACACAATCGCTTTCTTGCCGTCTTGTCAGCTGGACTCGTCGCTTGCACACCTACTTAAGACAGGTCTCTTCCGCAGAAATGGGAAGCTTGCATTGATGAATTCTTCTCTTTGGCGAAAGGTTCCCTGAAACGGATTGATTCCATCAGTAAAAATACTGCCTGTGCAGTAGTAACTGCACAAAATTAACTTTTTTCGAAAGGTCTTCGTTCATATGATTAAGATTTGGAGTGAAAAGATAGCACAAGAGAAGGAAGTTAACTGGATTTGGCTAGGAACAATAATATTTGAATGTGAGCAAAATATACAACAAAAAACGTGTTGTACCAATGTTTTTTTTTTTGTAAAAAAAAGTCTGAGTGGAGAAAAGGGGCTGGAGTAAATCAAAATTTGAACCACCAGCCCATCCTGAAGTCTGCAAAACGTAATGGTGGTTTTCCTTTGAGCCGGAACAAGGTGCCCTTTGGCAAACCGCTTCATTGGAGCATAAGAAACGTTACAGATTAGGCCCATTTAGTACGGCGTGGTCGTTACTCGTCAAGCAACATGTGTATCGTTTTCCGATTGCAGTAAAATTAAAGTTTGGATTTGACTCTTGGTCTAAGAGTAGTAAGTACTGCACAAAAAAACGGAACAGAAACAGGTAAGGCAGGAAACCAGATTTTGAAGCACCACCTTTGCTTTTAATGAGAGATGTCAGCAGCTTCAGACCTGCTTGGGCCACTGCGTGCGTATGACAAACCCACCAAAGTGGCAGAAGCTTTTCCACAGTCAACCAAGGAGGGCTTAGCGATATTTTTAGATTTTGTCCAACATATGTTGAGCTCATTTTTATAGGTTTGTCAAGCTGCCCTGCAGTGGCAGATGGACTGAGTTGATTGCAGTTGGTGCATTCGGTGGAAGCAAGGTTATAACTCGAGGCCTCTGGGCCTCAGCAGACAAGAGGCTTATTGAAATTTTAATATGGAAGAGGAAAACGCAGAAGAGCAGGTGGGAGGTTTATTTTCTAGGTGCCCTATAAGAGCGGATTTAAAAACTCTGCATGTCTCGGTATTTAATCCAGTCTCCGGCTTCAGCCGTAACAAGCAAGAATATACAATATAGGTCACAAAAGAGAGGAGGCCAGATGGCCCGTCTGTGCGGTTTGGTAGTTAGTGATCCAAGGATTTCATCCAGCTGTTTTTTGACAGCTGTTTTTCATTGGCTTCAACCACTTGTGGATGGCTTTGGCCATACTCTTACAACCTTTTGTGTAAAGAAGAGCCTCCTGTTGCTGGTTTTAAATGCATTTCCACATGGTTTCCAGTAGTGTTTAAATTGTACCCTTTTGACTATATATCCTACCTTTTTTGTTGCTTACCCTCGGTTCTCTAGAAGATGGAAATGATGTGTTGATATAAATGCCTTTCTTTTTCCATAAGTAGTTTCTTAAAGCTAGGTTTTTCCCCATTTTGTACGCATAGTTTTTACTATCTGCATGAAACACCTTCATGTGTCTACATCTAATATCACATTTGTGGCAGTAAAACTACAGGAGCTACAATGACCTATGTGGCTGGTATTACGGCACTAGTTTCAACATGTACTGCTGGTAACAAATAGTATCTGCATGTACAGCTGCTCAGAACAAAGTTTGTTTTCCAGTTTTTATCCAAGCATTTCCCTTTTCATGTTATTTCAGTGAAACCATGTTTTAATGTGATTGTCACTAAGTGGATGTGACAGGCTCGTTTCTCTATGTGCGCATCTCTCTAACATGAACAAACCTTGCCTTTCAGCACCTTCAGTGAGCTTAATTAAAACTACGTACTTTTTTCCTTTTATTGTCATATATTCATGGTGCATTCTTTCACTAATTTCCAGCATGAATATGAAAACGGGTGGCACAGAGATGCAGTGTTAGCTTTGCTTCCTCATAGCACTGGAGTCCTGGGCTTAGTTTCGGATCTGGGGTGCTATCTGTGTGGAGTTTGTATGTTCTCCCTGTGTTTGTGTGGGTTTCACGAGGGTGCTCTGGTTTCCTCCCACGGTCGAAAGACATAGAGGTAGATTAATTGGCATCGCAAGGCACACTCTTACCAGGGACCATTTTCCCCCAAACCAGAGTGCATCCTGCCTCATTCCCTTTGCTTGAAGGAATAGTCACAGGCTCCCCCTTGACCCTGAATTGGAAGGAGCAGGTAGAAAATGGATGGAAATATTGAGAATGCTTCACGGTTTAACGTGGTCATTGCTTGTAATTTCACGGGGGCTGTGTTTTGTTTCTTTCTTTAATTCCCTGGTTCTTGAATGTTTTTTTTTAAAATAAAACATAATAAAGAGGTGATCTGTTTTGTTCTGATAATAACCCTCACCTTTTTCTTGTGTGTCTGAAAAGGTGCTGTACGTGCTTTGTTTTTAGGAAATGCTTGAGTTGAGATAAAGGGGAAATCTGCACTGCATTCTTTTGTACAGAAACCTTGTTGGTTTGCGCCAGTGTTTTTTTGGCTTCGGTCAGGCATTCTCAGATGTCTCTGAGATAATTCCAGTTGCATTCTGGGTACCATTAGTATGTTACTTCCTAGACGGTGGTGATCGTTTCTGCGATGCCTGCCTTTGTATGTTATGACGCTGAAAAAATACCAGGCTGTTATGTCATTTTTGTGCACTTAAAAACGTTGGAGCTTTATTTAATGCTTGTGAAAACTGGTAGGTTCCTGCTAATTCTGGGGAGATATGGTTGTGTACTAGCAATGTAGCGGAGTAACATCTTGCCATGGCCTTAAGCCCTAACCCTTGCATTAGTGTCTCACTCACAACATGAGCATTTCGAACCCCAAAATTATTTCATTCCAGAAATAATTGCAACTACTTGTCTGAGTTACCATTCATTGGAGTAAGTGTCATAAACATATTGTAAAGTAAAATATACTCTCTTCCTTTGTAATTGTTTAATGAAACTGCTTAAACCTTGACTAAGCAGTTCTATCAAACTGCTTCTACTTTTTCAATTGGAATTTCTCATCTAAATTCCACTTAGTATTTATGACCCACTGCTGTTTAATGTTATTAATAGTGATTTGGGCTATGCATTTTGTTGCTTTGTGGCAATGTAATACCTCTTGATACAGCCTTCATAAAGATACCTCCGCTTTCTTAAGCAAGCCACATCATTTTATATAATCAAAACTGTTATCCTAATTATCCTGATTTTAGCCTAACTTTAATCAGATTCAGGTCTGATCTAATAAGTCAGTCTAAAATAAAGTGATGTGTTCTGACCGTTAAGTGTACCAAATTATTATGATAGGGGAAAAAAAGGATAAAACTGCAGATCTTGTAACTGGCAGGCATTAAGAAGTATGACCTTTTTTAGCGATGCCCGTTGTCATTAAATATGACAAAA